GGGTTATTTTCCGACCATTTCCAAAATGCTGTCCATGTCTTCATCCTTTGGTCGAACTCTGCGCTAAAGTCGGGCTCGTTGATCTTCAAAGTAGCACAGATGGGCGGATCAGAAAACTTGACTTCGCCTGCCTCTGTAATGCGACGCCGCCCAGCTCCTTAACAATGTCCATCCCAAGGAGCAGATCGAAACCTAATAACGCTGTCCACGACCAACACACTGACTGTGACAGGGTCACCGTTGTTAATACTGAGTTTGATGTTTCCAACTCCCCCGGCTTCTGAGAGCCTTTCCATCAGCCGTTAGTACGTCCATCTTTGTCTGCTCCACTGTCGGCAAATCAACCATTGGTGAGTGACTGAGAGCAGCCCGAATCTATTAACGCGGCGGTGCCGTTATTCCATTGATGCGTATCTTAATCACAGGGAGCGCCACTTTCATGCTCGGTGCGGGAAGAGACCTGCGTTGACGTCGCCCCCATTCCATTTCCCGGGCACTTAGATGCAATATGACCTACTTTCTGACATTGAAAGCATCAGATCGAGACGTGCCTTTCGCGCCGAACCGCTGCGCATTTCTTCGCATTGATAGCGGCAGTCTCTGGCAAAATGTTTCGCCCAGAGCACCAATAGCAGGTGGCAACGCCATGGTGATAAATGGCTGGGGTCGGACCTTCTTTGACTTCAATTGGTTGAATAACTGCGCCACTGGTTCATCAGCCTCTTTTTTCGATCGATCATGACAGCACGGGCTCTGGTCAACAATTGATTGAGCGTCAGATCTTCCATTCTGGATGATGCGCAGAGTATCTGCTTAACATGACTGGGCAATCCAGAAACGAAGGCACATGTCATCCATTCTTCAGGAAGCGGTGCGATTGGAACGGCGAGCTTCTTTAATTCTGCCAAATATACGTCTACTGTCTTGCCAGGTTGCAGACGCCGCGCCTGGAATTGGTTGTAGGCCACGAACCAGTCAGTTCCAAACGCAGTTAGTAGAGCGTGCTTTATTTGCTCAATGTCACTTTTCTGTTCTTTACTCAGCTGCCTATACACAGCAAGGGCACCGCCATTCAATCGCAGAGGAAGAATCCGATCAATCTTCTCGGATCTCGCATAATTCGCAGACCAGTTCCACCTTTTCGATCCATTCAACCACAGACTGTCCACTAGTATCACCACTGAATTCGGGGATCAGTTTTATATCGAACGGTCTTTCCGCCATCTTGCGAGAGACAAAGTAAACGCCGAAATAGCTTGAAGTGTAAGCATTCTCAAAGCAAATTTGTGGCTTTCACAACACAACGAAAGAAAATCACTTGTAACATGTCAGGAAAATAACTCACGAATGCCGTAGCCAAAACTGCCCGAATTTTTTCCTACCGAGTCGACAACACCAACTGCTTTTATCGGCAGAACCTATTTTTTCCATTCGTCGACAGCCGGGATAGGATGCTCCGTAATTTGCATATTAATATCCTCTTATAGCGACTCCTGCGACGGACTTGTTTCTTTTTTGTCCCAGAATACACGCGACACGCTGTCGCTTGGGTTGACGAGGTAAGTCGCTATAAGAGTTTTGCTGACTACTTTTTGGCAATCCCTCCCCGGCAGATCGCACACAAAACACAAACTTTTTTCCGGGGTACTTGATTATCTCATTCACTACAGCAAGAAAAAATTAGAAAATTTGTGTTCTCCAGTCTTGTCCTTTGGTACATGATAATTTAATCACTTTACTGAGTGCTCTATAAAATCTTTCTCTCTCAGGTGCTGAATACCAATTTGCTCACAAAATTGGTTTATGTCTACACTCTTTAAATTGGGAGCATTGTCTGTAACAATGTTTTCAAGGTATCTGTATCTAGAAAAGGTCTGATTTAAACAATTTAAAATTGTTTTTGAGTTTGTAGCTCTAATTATATGGATTTCATGTCACCTAGTGCAGCCAATGATTATACCCCAAATACTTTCACCTGTTAGGAATGGCCCACATATGTTGATATGAACCTTTTCCCACAATTGTCTCATGGTTATTGATCTTATAGGTTCTGGAGTGTTTGGTCTAGAAAGACTCCAGCATGGCAAACAATTCCTTATGTTTTCTATATCATTTTTAATACCTGGCTACCATACTTTTTCACATAGTAAAGCTTTAGTCTTTGTAATACCTTGGTAAGTTTCAGGATTTGCTGTTGCAAGGTATTTGGAACAAGGTGAGTTCCCCTAAGGAGTAGATCTGATTTAAACATAAGTTGATTCCTTATATTTGAATAAGGTTTTATTTTGCTTGTTTTTAGCTACACATTGTTCTTTACACATCTAAAAAAAATTTTTCAGTAGTAGTATCTGCCAGAAAATGCTGAGTGACTTCTGATAGATACATTTTTTGGAATAATATAAGCAATTATTTAGTTTAAATACATTTCTAAAGAATCACTGTTATTTGCATCTTTATTAATTTAAACTGGTTCAATAGATAGTATGTCTGCAGGGTTCAAGTATCCAGGAATGTGTTTGATTGTAAAGGAGTAACCATAATCCTCATCTTAAAATATAGGGCAAAGGTCATCCTGGATGATGGTACAAAATTTTCAAATATTCATGGTCTAACAATATTTCAAAATGACAACCAAACAGATATAAGTGGTATCTTTCAAAGCCCCAAACAACAGCTAACACCTCTCTTTCTATTTGAATGTAATAGTGTTCCTGTTGAGTGAAAGTTCTACTAGCATAAACCACACGTCGCATGCTATCATTCGTTTGTCTTTGGGCTAGAATGGCCCCAAGACCTATTGGTGCAGCATCTACAGTTAAGATAGTCTTAAGGTCGGGAATAAAATGAGCCATCACAGTATCATTTGTAACAGCGTTTTTTAGTTTAATATAAGCTTCCTTTTCAGTCAGTTCATACCCATTTAACTCTGTTCTGTAGCAATTTTCTAAGTACTTCCATTTTTAGATAATAAATTCTTTATCAATTTACCTAAATAATTTATTTGTTCAAGAAAACTATAAAGTTCTTTAGTTGAACATAGTTTGTTGAATTCTTTCATTGCTCAAATTTTATTCTCAGCAGGTTATTAGAAATAATATGCCTTAAAAATTGGAACATTAAACTCATATTTCACAAAGTTTGCCATGAGGTTATTTTCTTGCAAAACTCTCAAACAGGTCTTCAGATTTCAATCATGATCATCTTGATTTACACCACCAATTAAAATATCATCTGAAATATTATACACTTTTTGGAGATATTTAAACAACTCGTTTATGCAGTTTTCATATTTTTCAAATGTCAAGGTAGCTCCTTGTACCAACCTTTTTATAATGGAACAAACCAATATGAGTAATAAAGGTAGTAATGTAACAAGATGTCTCATCCAATTCAATCTGATGGTATCTATGTTTCAAGTCAAGTTTTTTTTAAATACTGTACAACCATTGTACTTTTCAAGGAACTCCTCGAGTGTGGGTACAGAGAAGTGATTTCTTTTTATGGCTGTGTTAGCTTTTCACATATAAACTACTAATCTAACATCATTGCTCTATTATTGGTAAATCCCATGAGGTGGGTTCCATAACTGGTTCTAAGTCTAGCAATTCTTTCAACTTATTTTCAACCTTGTTTTCAAACATGGAAAGTAATATGGCACAAATGATGGGACACTGATCAACATTTAATTTGATTTTAACATTTTCCAGTCTGCCCAGTCCTTTAAATACTGAAGCAAATTTGACTAGAATAGGCTCCCATGTTGAAGAGATATTATTCACTGTAGTAACAGTGCCTGGTATAGATAAGAGTCCTAATTGTGTAGCAGTTTTCTTACTCTGTATGTTGCCTCTATTGTATAAAACAGACAAAAATAAAATCTGAAATGTTATGTGTAGACTCTACAGAGACATTTGAAACAAAAGCACCCTATACTTTAAGGGAAATCTTGAACGATATATAAATATTTTCTTTTCACAATTTTTTAATTTAATATTTATATACTTTTAGAAATATCCATATATATTCCAATTAATTAGATTGACACTTGTAACAATCGGAACCAAAATAGTCTGACCGTCTAAGCAAATAACTGCATTAGATTTGTGTCCCTTTGTCATCAGTACATAATCATTCAAATTAGATTCCATTTGCACTACTTCACACTTGATGATAGGTTTTTGTGTCTTTTTCTTTATAAAGCACATCTGTTCAAAGTGGTTGAGCTTATGACAAAATGTGCATTGTTTTCCTCTAGCTGGGACATTTTGTAGTGAGAGTCACTACCACAACCATAACATTCTTGATACATTTCAGAATTTGAGGTCACCTCAAATTCTGAAATGTATCAAGAATGTTATGGTTGTGGTAGTGACTCCTCCTCATAGTTTTCTGTCATTTTATTTTTTTTCAAAGTATTTATTTCTTCTATTGAGCTGGATTTCTTTTTTAGTAGTTTGTAAATTTCAACATTTTGTTGTTTAATTTCTTTAGCCTATTCTGCCAATGTTGCTTGTTGAACATTGTGTGATAGCGTTAATTTTTTCTCTTTTAATAATTGTTGTCTAAGACATTGGGACAAATATCTTTCAATAAATTGGCCTACTACTGCCTCATCTGCAAAGTATTCATTAAACTTGCACATACATGTCATATTTTTCAAGGCAGTAATGCAAGTCACTGCACTAGTGAATTTGGAACCTTAAGCCTAAACTGCCTGCTAATTATTTCTACTTGCTAAGACATTGAAATTATTTTCAGCATCATTGATAATATATGTAATATTTGACAACTGTTTTAATGATGGAAAAATTATTCACAATAGTCTATTCTCTTGATATATTCACCATAATTGATTATACAAATATTAAAAACCAATAAAATGTTCCTATAGCTTATTTTTGCCAGCAATGAAAAGTTTTTCTATATAACTTTTTTAATCAAGTGTTTACTCTCATTTTTGTGTTTCTTTCTTCTTTTTTTTTTTTTTTTTTTTTTTTTAGAATTCTTTTACCTGTGGACAGTCCAAACCAACTACAAAATTATTAGATAGCAGACAAGTTTCTTTGGTTCTTGTGAGAGATCTGGATGACAATCAGTATAATGCTAATATTATTGTAGCTACATACTCTAAAGGTGAGCTATTTTCCTATTATCATCATTAACTTTATAATAATAGTCTTTAAGAATTGTTATCCTGCCCTGTTCTCTCTAAATTCTCTAATAAATGTCTTATTGTTTCTTGCTTTCCTGTATATTGCAAATCCTCTTCAGTAGTTTTAAGAAATTAGGTGAACCATCTTCTACTGGCCAACTAGCCTTCTACATCTTTTGGCAAAGTACTAGAAGCTCTAATCAATGCTGAATTGGTTAAGCATCTCATTTCACAGTCTTCTTTCAGACCAGCAATGTATCTTTTGCTTCTCTAGGTCAACTGCTGATGTGTTAGCAGTTATTGCTGAAAGAGTCGATCAAGCTTTAGATAAGAATGGTGAAGCTTGGGCTGTTGCTTTGGATATCTTGAAGGCATTTGACAGGGTCTTACATTTTGGTCTTCACAAGTTGAAAGGTTATAGCATTTTTTGATTAATTTTTGATCTGATTCAGTCTGTCTTATCAAATAGCTAAATAAAAATTGTATTGAATGGCCATTTTTCTAGATTTTTTTTTATTTATTTTTTTTTTTTTTATTCATGTGGCTGTCCCCCAGGGCACTATCCTTGGTTGCTATGTTGTTCCTAATGACCTTCCTGGTGTCACCCCTTTTCAACTCTGTATCTGTGTCATCAACACACCATTAAGACAAGAGTAAATAGTTAAGTCTGATTTGTTCGATAACTTCAAATTAGCATCTAATCTCCAAAATGACCTACAATCTGTTGTTAACAGGGCATGTTAATTTTAATACCTCCAGAACGAAACAGATCTCTTTAAATAATTTTATAGAACCTTTAGGAGAGTGACACATTTTATCTTCTCAGGTTAATGTTTTCTGCTGACATGAACTGGAAAGATTATATTGAATCAATTGCTAGGGCTTTTGCTAGGAAAGTTGGTTCACTGTATTGTGCAAGATAATTTTTCTCACCTGGATTTATCTTAGACATTTATAAGTCTACCATTCATCCATACATTGAATATTGCTGCCACATCTGGATTGATGTTTCTGCTACATATTTAAAAATTCTTGATAAAATGTAAAGAAGAATCTGCAATGTTAATGATCCTGATCTGGTATCTTGGCTTCAGTCATTTTCCCACCACTGTAATGTATCTTTCTTGTTCCTTTTCTATTAATATTTTCATGGTAATTGTTCTGATGAGCTTTCCTCTTTGGTACCTTGACTCTATGAATTTATTTGAAGTACTAGATTGGCAACTAGGTCTCATAATTTTACCATTGAAATTACTAGATGTAACCATAAGTTCTTTGCTAACAGTTTCTTTTCTTGCACTTCTCACTTATGGAACTCTTCTGGTTTTTTTCTTTTCAGTCAACTTTGATTTTCAGAAATTTAAATGCAATGTCAATTGTTATCTTCTGTTTTCTTAATTTCTCTTTCTTGTTCTCTCTCCCTAATGTTTTTCTTTTCTGTCATTTTTTGGTACTCAGTAACCTCTTGTCTTAGTGGCTTTATTGCTTTGCTTGGAGGGAAATAATTAACAAAACAAAACAAAAAAAAATCTCTTCTTCTCGCATTACTTTTCATGTTGCTGCTATTGATTGAAGTGTGTTTGTCTTTACAATGGTCAACTTAAATCAAATTAGATGACAGATGTTAAAGTTTGGTACCAGAAATGTTCATAATGATAATTCTGAAGCAAGTATATATGAAATAAACTGTCACAAACATTCCTTACAATATATTAGGGAAACTTGCAAAAAGTTAAAAAACATATCTACGAACACAAACAATTTATCAAATGCATTAGTCATACACAGAAATAAGTTTAACCATAACTTTGATCTAAAGAATACTACACTTATTAAAAGAGAAAATAAGTTATTAGATAGAAAGTTTTTGTGAGTTTTGCTATCAAATATTGAATAAATGTTAATCTGCACCCTGGAATGTTTCAAATAACACCTTTCCTAAAAGAAATAATGCTTTTCCAAGTGTACATACATGAACATAAAACTTTTTTAAAAAATTGAGAGAAAATGATTAAATCAAAATCTTCTATTATTTAAAATAAATAAATACATAAATTATTTATCAAATTAAAATAATAAATAATAATTACATTAATAAATAAAAAATAAATATATATAAACAAATAAGGAAATAAAAAAATTCAACAACAATAACATTTATTCTCTTTCATTTATTAGGCATTAAATTACATCACTTAGCATCCACCATAGTTTATTTTGAATTTCACACTTAGCTGTATGAATATTTTTGAGCATTTTTGAATTCCAAAATTTTTGAAATCTAATATTTTTTTACTTCTGTTGCAAAATAAAATCTTTACTTTTGCCTTGATAAAAAAAATTTCCTTTTATCTTTATTTATATCATCTTTTTACATATATATATATTATTTATATTCAAATTTTTTACACATATGTGTAAGGTATATTTAGGCAGCAAGAATTCATCCAAAAAAATTTTATACAATTTGCCAGCAAGGTATGTCTATTCAACTATTTTTCCAATTTCACTTTGTACATTATCAGTATGGTGAGCAAGATTTTTTTTCTTATTAAATTCTTGAATTGGAATCTGTTCAAAGTGACATGTTAAACAGGAATTTTGTTTTTTCTGATACATGCATGAATTGAACTAAGTTTTGACAAGTAACAATAACCAAATTGACTACATAACTATAAACAAAAGATTCAGGAATGCACTGGTTCACTGCAAAACCTACCCAAGTGCAGAAGCGATCATCGTCCTGTTATATGTAAACTAAGAGTGAAACTATAGAAACTGAAGAAGCCTAATGCAACACCCAAATTGCAATACAACAAGCTCCTGAGCGACCTGTACCTGAAAGAAAAATATATAGACAATATGAAAAGATACAAGGGACACAATGGAAATGAGAAGCTTTAGTGACATCAGCAAACAATATTGTCCCAAAGGAGAATGGATGAAGAAGAAAAATCGAATGGATGATTGATGAGATTTTTGACATGACGCAAAGGAGACAGAAAACTCTGCCAAGATACAGAATGGAATTTCACAATACTACACAATGAAATAAGGACCAAAAGCAGGCAGACTAAAGAAGAGTGGCTAAACAAAAAATGTGCAGAAATAGACTGAGTACCACCAACAAAGGAGATATGCATAACAAATAAAGGAATAAAAAGGGCAGGAGATGTGCTTGTCAACAGACTGCATAAAATCAAGGAAGGAACGCACATATTAGAGAAGGAAAAAATTCTTCAGCACTAGAATGAATATCTTCGAGAACTCTTCCACGACAAAAGAGAACAACCGGCAATATGTAGAACTACCCACAGGCCTGAAATTCTAAAAACTGAAGTAGAAGCTGCACTGGCGAAATTGAACAGACAAAGGCGGTAGGGCCAGACAGAATTGTAACAGAAATGCTGGCAGCCTTAAATGATTTTGGTATAGACAAGATCACAGAAATAATAAATGAAATCTACAACAGTGGGGATATACCAGAAGATCTCAGCAGATCTATTTTCATAGCACTGCCTAAGAAACCAGGTCTATACGAATGGGAACCACCGAACAATCAGTTCCATGAGCCACATAACAAAACTCATCATCAGTATTCTGATGAATAAAGAAAACAGTAGAATCAGGCCAGAGATGAGACAAGTATAGTGTGGATTTGTTAAAGACATTGGGACAAGGAACTTACTGAGCAGTCTTTTTTTTTATGATGATTATGTTAACATTTACACACAGGCTGATGACAACTCTGGGCTTACTTCTTGGTTTCACTTTATCCAATTTCTATATGGCCTATGTAGAAAACAAAATCTTTAATAATTACACCAAACCTTCCATATATATTAACAAAAACAGAAACAAAATAAAAACCTTAAAGAAACTTTTTAGAATAACTCTGTTCTACAATTCACTTGTGAACTCAACATTAATAATAGAATACCTTTCCTTGACATTCTAGTAGATGATGATGATGATAATAGTTATGATTTTATTACTTCACTATATAAGAAATCCACAAGCAAAAGTTTGTGTCTTAATTATAAAGTGAGTGTGCTTACAGATATAAATTAGGAGTTATAAAAAACATTGACTGTGCTAAAATGATTTCTTCTTTGGACACATTATTTTATAAAGAATTAAGCAACATAAAAACAAACAATTTCTCAAACCATGTTGTTTATAAAGAAATAAAATTGGCTTATCATATATTTCTGTGTACAAGATGACATTTAAATCCTAAAAATCACCCTTAGGGTCATCTTAACTCTAAAAAGAAATCTTAAATTTTGAGTGATATTTGTCAGTAGGTGAACCCTGGCCTTGGTGTGATAACCAATAATATACATGAAAAGATTCATTTGTACCTGATATATTACTGGCATAACTTCATTAATAAATTGCCTATTTGAAAAATAATTCTGTATTAATGAAATCAACTTGTATCCATGCAAGCTCAGCTGAGAAAATGTAAACATTGAGTTATGATTGCATTCGCAGCAATGGAATGTACATTATCATACTGTTATTTGCGGTATTTTGTAATTGTTGATGAATTATAAGTAAATGGCCATGAATACACCAGGCTGTTTGTAACTGTTTAAATATAAGAAAAAGAAGAAGAATCAGTATTTGCAAGAGATCACGTGATGAAATGTAAACAAAACAATGTGTGTAGGAAAAACATGATATAGAATCAGTTTTGTTATTTCGTTTATTTTGAATTACTAAGGATACAGTAAGTAAAAACATTTCCAATAACATCTTTCTATAATCAATAAGCAATCTTCTTATACAACAGGTATAGGATAAATTCATGAAACATGTTGTATTTTTTATCTTGTCTTATCTAAAGGTTGTCTTATACATGGAAATACTTCTATACTTTTCAAAATGAGTTTTTTTTCTTAGTAAATTGTCATTTTACTCCACACCAAATATAATCATTTTTTTTTTTCCATCTTCATCACCTTTTTATTTATCTCTCTCGTATATATAGTAGACTTCTATAACGTTCGTTTGACATTTAGCTTAGATCTGATAGATTTATATGTGAATTTGCAGTGCAAAGATTGAAAAATGGCTAATTTTTTTAAACTTTATTGTAATTTTGATGAGATGTTGAGTTTTTTGCAAATATGTTTTAATGGTTAACTTATTTGAAGATAAGTGATTAGTAATTAAAATATGTTAAAAAATAACGAAAGTCAAAATTATAAAATCTAAATTTCATATCTGACATATGCATAAAAATTTGTTTGTAATTTTGTTATTTCAGATTATGGTGTTGTTCAAGATGACACGTCTAATCCAACTCTCATTGGAATTATTGTTGGAGTTGTATGTGGAATTATTGTCATCATTCTTATTATTGCAATTACTGGTCATTGCTATTATAAATCAATGAGAAAAAAGCACACTGGAAAGTATGATGAAAATGGACCTCTGGATGACTGTGAGCAATCAAGCATTGGCTACATTAATGATGGGGTGAAAAATGGCGGTATCATAAAGAATAACAACTCTCCTAAGAATAATGATAGATCTTTGTTGTCACCTGATGATGAAGTGAAACAATTCTATGATTATACTAAAGAAAACAAGAAACACACAGTACCTAATATCAATATTTTGGCAAACAGTTCCACAAAATCAACAGACTTTGATAATGATCCTGCCAGAATGGGTCAGATGAATTCAAATGCAACCCCCAAATCACCAGTGCTCAGTGCACTCCACAACAGTCCAAAATTTCAAGCTTCTTTCAAATCTACAGAGGCTGAAGCTGAAGAAAGAGCAAAACGATTCTCTCAAGGTAGCACCTCACCTTCAACTCCACCACCCTTGCCAACAGTTCCAACCAGTTCTCAAATGCAATGTTCCCAAACAAACACTAACCATGCTGGAATCAGACGTGTACCTAAGAGTTCTGCTTCATCTGAAGACTTAGAGCATTTAGAAAAAGAACTTAATACAATGGCAGTGGAAAAGCAAGGAAACCAGATGCTGCCAAATCCCCCTCTTTTCTTATCAAATGTTATTCCAATCTCAACAAACATGCAGCCTCAATTAGCTCCTCAGTCATTATTGGAGCAACCTGCAAGTGAGCAATCTATTCTGACACTAGCATCATCAAAGGATAGTAATAGCAATCAGCATACACTGCGTCCTTCGAGAACACAGGATAAAAAGAAGCAAGCAGACATAACTGATGGTCAGCCACCCAAGCCACAAAAGACCTATAAAGAAAAAAACAGTACAAATAGCCTACGTAAGCGTGGTCACAAGATTCCAAAATTTACTAAAGGCAAACCATTTCTATCTGATGCAGAGTGTAACCCTATATATGGAGATGAAGAAACCCATCATTCTGATACACCTTTGAGTGAGGTCAGCTCTCGAATGGCAAGAACTGATGATAATGAAAGTCTACCACGTAAGTAAATATGAATATATGAATTGAATACTGAAGTAATCAAAAAAAAAAAAAAGGATTACTTCATGATGTGCATTAATATATTCCTCCCCCCTTTTGTTTCATGTATATCATTGTCAGCACTGTTGATACTCTGCTTAATTGTGTTCCCATCCACTGTTTTTGCTTAAGGCTGCATCAGATTCAAAACATCAGTTCTCATGTGATCACCAAAGTTAAGCATTGTCAAGTCTGGTCAGTACCTGAATGGATGACCAGGTGCTGTAAGCTTGAATTTGGAGTTGGTTCAGAATTGTTAATCAGAGAGTTGAGTTCCAATTCCAGTTGGTTTTGTTGTATTCACTTACATACAAATACCCTTGGGAAAGGTATGAATCCAATTCTTCTACCTCCGGCTATGGGTTAATTAGTAAGTTTTGTATCACTAAACCATTATCTACAAAAATAAAATACAATTGTACACAAAATATTCAGATTTTGGCATTAAATTACCCATAGAGATTGATATTGGCTAAACAACTGTTTGGGTTCCATAAATATTTAGGAAGTATTGGTCAATATCTACAAGTACAATTTTTTTCTTACACAGACAAATTTGGTACTATACCTCTGCTATTTTGTTCAGACTGTACTTAGGCAAAAAAAATTAGTAATTATTAGCTGGATGGTTAAATTTCTAATGCTATACCACTAACACATTCCCCTGACATCATGGGCTAACATAAAATAGGAGGCATTACTTTTTTAGTTACACTTATATAATCTGAAATATACTAATAATAGTATTGAACTAAAGTCATCATTATTTACATATGGACTTTTGTCCTCATCTTTGTTGTTATTATCACAATGTTTCAACTGTTTTTCTCTCCAATTTTCATCAGGTATTTGTCAATCATGATTTTATCAAGATGTACACTTAGTAAAATTCAAGCAGTAATTTCTGTAAGGTTTTGCATGTAAATTTTTTTTTTAAAGATATTTTTTATTTTCATTTTCTTTTCAGCTCTTCAGCGTACAGCATCCAAACAGTCACTGTTTGCTTCAAGAACATCACTGTATGCTCGCCGAGGTAAGAGAGAACGGCGCTCATCCATCTCAGAGTCTGTAACATCGTATGCTCATGATGACCTTGATATGTATGTACCATCTAGACAGCCAGATCCAATGGACAGAAGAGATGCCCGTGTATTCAAATCTCTTGGAGATATCACTAAAACTTCAAAAGATAGCTCCTGCCAAGAACAAAACAAGAAACTTGCCTCAAAAAGAAATGGACACAAAAAACCTGCAAATACACGAAAGTCTTCATCATCTACACAGACTATTGAGCAAAAGGGAACCCAAACTGAACCATCTCAGAAGAAAACCTCTCATGGCAAGGAAACGATAGCCAGCAATACTTGGGGAAAATCGGCCTCCAATGTTAAAGGGGATGTTATCAACACTGTGCAAACTACTGAAATGTCAAAGTCCCAATTCCAGCCAATTTCAAAAGCCAGTGATATTCAGAGCTCTGCTTTTGTTGATAATCAGTATCTAGACAGTGTTCCCATATCTGTAGAAGGTGCAGAGTTGACAAAACCAACAAAATCTCCTTGGGAACTGCTTTGTGAGCTTACTGATGCAGAAATAAAAATGCGAAATGGTTCTATGCCTTCTGGGAATGCACTATACAATTCAGATTTTCCCTCTAGTGTGGGTGGGCAATCCAGACCTAGCATGGACAATCTCCCATCTGTTTATCACCCATCTATTAGTTCTCGGGTTTCTGAAAAAGAATCCTATGTTTCTGCTTACTCACCCAACACTGTCCCTATCACCTACCCACCATCTGTAGCCTCTAATGTTCCTAACAATCTTTATCCTCGAAAATCTTCCTGGGAAGCACTCAAAGAACTTACAGATGCCCATCTCTCTTATAATTCACAAGGAGCTTCAGAGAGCATTGTTTGAATTTTAAATACTGATAATAATTATCCAGTCAGCTACTTTATTGTTTTTCGCCATGTTTTTTGTTGGGAATATATAAACTTTCTCAGTTTTTTTAAGGTATTTTTTTGTCATTGAGAACATATAAACATTTTTTTTTTTTTATTGAATGAACTATGATACATTTTTTTAATCAAACAGAAAAGATATATTTGTATCTAATATTTTTGCAACAAGATGAGGATGTAATCAATTCCTTTCATAATGTAAATTAGAGATGGTATGATGGATGATGCTACTATAGTAAAATGTTTCTTTTAAAATTTAAATAAAAAAACATTTATCCATTAAAAATACTGTCTGAATTCATATGAATAATATTTTCAAAACATGTAGTCCCAATTCAAAATCTTGACTTATAACTCAATTTTTTCTTTTTAATATTGAAGCAAATCTCTGCTAACTTTTGAGCTTGTTCAAACATTTACTTTGCTTATGCCTTGATTAAATGATTTTGAATAAAAAAAAACTTTTAACTCCATTTTTCTGAGGTCCTACATGTTGGGTTGATGAACTTCACCTTTTTTGTTTAAGATACAATCCTTTTAAATTTTGATAGATTTCATCATCTTCAAATATATGCTCACATACAAAAATAATTATTTGTATTAAATCTGAATCTATTGTGAGATTTTCAAAGATTCTTAAGTTAAATTTGTGCAACACAAAGAATTAGAGCAGCAGATTTTAACAGAATTATTCAATTAGTTGAAATTCATTTTGTTTACCCATATATTACAGTTTATTGCTTGATAATCCCCTAAGTTTTTTTTGTTTTAGTCATTTAATTTTTTTATTTTCAGTATATGCATTATCAGTAAATTTCTCATTTTAAAATGTCCAATGATTGTTTAGAAATTGTATTTTCAAGGAGGAAATAAAAATGAATGCAGATGTAATGAAATTATATTTTATTACAGACATCATCAGTATTTACTATTATGATTAAGTAACCAAAGGCAGTCTTTCATTTAAAATTCAAGTAGTTTTGATGAAAAAACTGAAAAACCTGAATTTTTTTAATATTCTGGCACTGAGAAAATGTGTAGTAATTGAAACAAATGGTAATCTGAAAATACTAGATCTGATGAGTATGGGGATAATAGTCTAATAATTTGTTTTGCTTAGTAAGTCCTTGTAGTGTCAGTAAAAGTCTACAGTAATGATTCCCCTATAGTCCAGTAAGTCATATTGGGCAACACGTGAACAAAATCTTCCATAATTGGAGGTGATAACCAGTTTCATTTTTTCATTTGTTGTTAACATACAGTAACCATTTCTAGGTATTTATTTGGTGAAGAAAACTTCATTTCTTGTTAGCAGACAGATACAAATAGTTGAGCATGGCACTAAATTCTTTTCATAGAGTTGAACATGATACATTGTACTATTTTGCTCAATCTTTAGTGGTTTGATGGGGATTTGCTTTAAGAGATGTTTTCAAAAGATCATTACATTTCAGGGTATGATCCCTAGGGAAGATACAGTCATTCTTGTAAAATCATTGCCACCATTTATGCACCTGGGTGCACTGCTCAAATATTTTTCTTTGTATTGCCTTTATGAAATTAATACAGCTTGCAATGATGAGCATGACATTGTCTATAAATGACACAACTTGATAGATATTATATTCAGGTCTCACAGTTTCATAATTGGTGGCTTCTAAATTTGCATATTTTAAGTATTATATTACTTTCCAAATAAATTTATATATACAATATTTTTCTGAACATAGATTTTAATTTTCCTAAAACTTTGTGAGTCAAGATAATTTGACTAAATGATGTTATAGAAAAAGATAAAAATTAAAACAAATTTTTACATAAATTTAAATTATACATAAACAGTTTCATAGTGTTCACTTGAAACTTAAAAAGGTGACTGATTTCAAGAGATTTATGTGAAAAGCGAGCTGTTGTATTTGCTATATTGATGGGCCTTTTTGTCAATGTTTAGCAATATGTTTGCACATGTATCATTAGCTTTAACTATTGTTATGATTCTAATGAAAATAATTCCTTGATTTCATTTTTAATTGATTGAAAAGCAAACTTAAGTATTCAGATTAAAAATATGGTAGTTAAGGAAAAAGTTAATGCATCAACTAATGAAAACTTCTACCTGGTTTTAATCTTAGTTATACATTTTATGTCATAGACTCTTGAAATACATCACTTTTCCACAAGCATAATCTACAGTTTTCAGGTTCTGTTTTGTATACAACTGCTTTCCTTAAAATTCTCCCTTCAACTTTTGGAATTTTCCTGCATTTGAACTTCAATTCCCACTATTAATGAACTACCTTCTGAAAGAAATTTTGAGGTTGTAGTAACTTTCTTTCCACAGCCCTTCAATAACAACACATATAGGGTTTGTAATAATAATGATTGATAGCCCTTGAGGAATTCTCTGGTGAATGAAGGTTACTGGTCTTTAAGGAGCTCTCCTGGACTACGCCACACTCCCTGTAGGTCCCGAGGAAACAGTCACTAACAGTAGCCTGTGAAATTAGTTTATTAAAGCTTCTTAAGTTGTAATAATTGTTGGTTATTTTCATTATAATTTAATATACTAATTTTATCGTATTATTCTGTTGATATTGTCTCATACCTGTCAATATGGGAAAAATGTTTAAACTGTGACACTATTAGGTGCTGGTAAATTGGGAAAAAGGCTTTCAAAATAAACTGGAAAACAAGAAAGAAAAATGATGTTTTTCAACAGACTGAAAGTATACTGATAACAAAAACCAGAAGAATGAAAGAAAAGGATATTTGTTTTCTTTTCTCTTCCCACCCTAGGGTTCAAATGCCGATGACACCTAGTGTAGAAGCCATCTGTTTTTGGTCAACTTAATCTTAAGTGATGGTATTTTCTTAAGTGTCCATTGACCCTCTGTGGAACAATAGATTACATTTTTAATGACTTTAAGTGCCAACAAGGAAGAAAATGAGAACATCAGTAGGTTGCTTGTTGAATGAAGTGGGTAAGGAGGGGGCACTCACCACAACTAGAAATGAGTCTCTAGCCAAAATTCGGTCAGTTGATAAGACATGGAACTGAAGACCAACCCATTTCTGACAGAAATGAAATTGTGGTTATATTTTTTTGTTGTTCATCTGCCTAAGATGCAATAAAATTTATTAAAACAAACAAATTCTCTTTTTGTTGATTGTTGACCAAAGAGCTGGTGAGAGAATGTGACAGATGATGGATCTCAGATGCAACCAACCCCCAGGGACGCAATAAGAATTCCCCGCTGATGGAAATATTGGATGATAATTTATTAATTTGGGCTAGACTATGCCTAGCCTCTGGGAACGGGTTTGATCAGGAAATGGAGAGAGGGGGAGGCCCAGGTAGAATTTCAAGGAAGGCAGAGAAATCACCTGTATCCTTTGGGCAGTGATGGTAAGAGGTATCCATGCGAGATGGAAGGAGTTTGGCGGATCGATATTCTGCCATCACCACTCTTTGGGGGAGATATCTTCCCAAATCTGATCAGGCAATCAATTTCCCAAGGCCAGACAATGAAAGGCTTTGTATAGACGTTGAGGTTTATTTGAGAGCCCTCAATCACCTCTCATGCTCTGTATTGGGGTTTGTGCAAGAGTCCATAAATACAGACGAGTGAAGCAGGAACCAGACAGTTTGAGCTGCTGTTTGCGAGAGAGGCACGTTGCCAGTTGCTCCAAGACCTGCTATGCCAAAACCCACACAACTTCTGCAGAAAGAACTTGTTCCAGGCTACCAATTACAACTGAAGGGTCACCCACCTTGTGATCTAAAACAAACACAATTTGGGCAGGGTGGGATTGAGGATTGGGGCGTCCAACGCTAAGGATGGCCATAGGGATCAACCACGGACTGTGGGCGGTGTGTGATGTAATAAAACCACAAAACTGGACCTTGGCCTGAACTCCCCTTCAGCAGCAAAGGAATGGAAACATTAGATTATAAGAGATGCATATATTAATGGTCTAGCTTCGCCTATAATATGCCAGAGACTATTTGAGAATGGTACCCTGGATTTGCAGGCTGTCTACAAACAAGGCTTTTTCCCAAGACTTGGTGCAGAAAAACTCGGACTATGTCACTGCTGCTACTACTATTGCTACTACAAAGCCTGAAGAAATTCAAAGGG